CTGTGCAAAAGTTGAAACTTTGCAAGTTCAAAAAATAAAAAAATGGAATCTAGCTTTTTAAAAAAATTTCTGTTAAAAAAGGTTATCTGTGTTTTCACGATCCCTGAACCTCCTCCCTCCCCCTCCTTTTGCCGAATTCCAGCTTCCCGTCTTTCCATTTCAACTGCTCAAATGAGTGGTTGCTGTTACAACAAAATTCTTTGCTACAATTTTTCAGGTAGCGATTCATCCTGGTGTAGTAGAACCTAGCTCCACTGATTCGCTGAATAATGTAACGTGGCGCGATCGAACATTCGATATCGAATTCGTCCCGTCAGTAGATATGAGGCATGGCGAGCCAACTGATGTGCAATATCAGTTGAGGAATAGTGGCGACGAGGCACTGCTAGACTGCCAACTGGAGCTAATAACGCCACGCGACAAGATTCAGCTGGTCAAATATGAAAAGGTCAGAGTCAGATTGAGTAACCCTATTAGCACTGAGTGAAAAAATGGCGTAACGAAATGTACCATTATTTACTGCTTGAATTTGAACAAGTTAGTATTAGTACTGCAGCCATCTCTGTGATAAACGGAATATATTCCAGTGACGAGTTGGTACTCTGCTGAAACTTTGTTCATGTGTAAATAATCAAATTTTTCAGATTTTAAAAGCGATACCACCTGGAGAATCTGCTTCACTGAAAGTTACGTTTGTTGCGTCTAGTTACATTGTTGACACCACTGCTACTTTGCAATTCAAATGCATCGAAACTCAACGAAAATTAATCAGGTAAAAAAAATTTCGAAGAATTTGAAATGGGGAAAATTATGTGGAAGCCTGATTGCAATGAAATTTTGCAAACATTATATATAATTAGCACAGTAATCATGGCGGGGTAGGGTAGCACTGTTGTCATGCACTAGGTTGAAAATTGACCCCCTTAGCGGAACAGTTTTGCCAGCGGGTGGTTGATGTTGACATTTGTTACTGCTTGTGCTCGGTTGCGAATGCATTTCCCGCTCACTGACAGCGAGTGCAAAAGGGATTCCCGATTTTTGATACATTTTAACTTACGTGCAAAAAAAATCAGATTTAAACAGTTAGAAGTTAA